TCTTATATATATGTTACACCATATTGAATTTTTGGCTTGATAAGTTTATGGACTTTGTAAGATAACCCACTTAACAAAAATATGCTGTACTTTTCTTTTAATAAGATAATAAGATTTTGATATTTTTCCTATCATATAATCATGGAATCTGCTTTCCATTATTTTTCTTTAGAAAAATATTTTAAAATGATAAAATAAAACAAAATACCTTAAAGTGACAATTTATTTCTCGAAATTTATTACTGGTCGCAAACAACGACGACATTGCTCACTTCTCTCACTGACTAACTAAGCGTTCTTGCAGGGCTGCAAAGGAGCACCACAGAGACAATCATTTCCGACAAAAGAACTAGCCGGAAACTTGGTCTTCGGAAGCTCACCACAAAGATGGTTATAACTCACATTCAACCCCTGAAGCCCCACAACGCTGTTTGGAACCTTCCCAAACACCGAATTACGCGACAAATCCAAATACTTAAACCTCTCTCCAAACCTCAACCCTCCCAAATCAAACCTCAACTTGTTCCCCGCACCCCAAAACCCCACCAAATACTCCGTACTATTCACCAACCCAATCGCACTCCCCGAGATCTCGTTCCCCGAAAGATCTATAAAATCGTAGAAGTAAGTCTCCGAAGGCTTGAAATCCTCCATCTTCATCTTTATTCCGCAGTTAGCAAGCTTCAGGGAGAATATTATCGGCGACGAAGCCACCCACTTCGGAATCGTCCCCAGGTGGAAACTGTTGTTCGACAAGTCCAACGATTCGATTCCCTTCACCTCCATCTCGGGAAACGGGTCCACCAAGAGGTTGTTCGAGAGGTTCAGGTTGAATATCTTCGTCAAGTTCTTGAAACTCGCAGGTACAGTTCCCGAAAACTTGTTCCACGAAAGGTCCAGCGTGTCCAGCGCCTTGAATTTCCCCAGAAAATTAGGAATTTTCCCGGAAAGCGAATTGTGCCCTAATTCCAAGTAAGCCAATTTGGGGGCCAGGGTAGAAATCGAGTTCGGAACATTTCCGGAAAATCGGTTCTGTGTTAAATTCAGAATCCGAAGATTGGTATAGGACGAGAAAAAATCGGGTATGGCACCTTGGAGTTTGTTCCCTTCGAGTCCCAAATAGGTTAGGTTAACGAGCTTCCCAACACCCTCGGGAACGGTTCCGGTGAGTAAGTTGTGACCGAGTTTAAGCTGAGTGAGTTGAGTCAACTTGGCTACTGAACTCGGTATGGTTCCGGTGAAGCGGTTACCGGCTAAACTGAGAGCCTCTAATCGGGTCAGGCTTCCTATGTTTTGGGGTATTTGACCCGAGAGGTTGTTGTTTTCTATATAGATGAATTGGATATTAGGAAGCTGAAAAACGAAAGATGGAAAGGGTCCTGAAATGCCCTTGAGGTCGATGAGGTAGAGTCCGTCGAGGAGTTTGAGTTTTGAGAGAGTGGGTGAGATGGTACCCGACAATGTGGATTTCGGGTCTTGGTCGGGTTGACCCGTTAGGGATAGTCTTTGGACCCGTGTGCTGTTATAGTGGCATTCTACTCCGTTCCATTTGCAACAGTCCGTACCCGCTATCCAATTCTTGAGCATTCCGGACGGGTCGGATTTGATTCCGGATTTGAAGCCCAATAGGCCCGCTTCCTCGTCGGCTTGACACGTGGCAGCGTTGGCCTTGTGGTGTGGGAGTGTGAAGATTGTGAGCAAGAGGAATGGGAATAGGGTGGCTTTGGAGAGAGTCCGGAAGAGATTCATTTTGGGTTTCATGAGAATGTAGAGTGAGTGAGTGAGTGAGTGAAATTGGGTTTGGTGTCTTTAATGGTTGAGTTAGGAGTGTGTAGTGAGCAAGTTTGCACGTAAATGCAATGTGGACCCCTTTAGTGTACGATATTTTATGTGGAGGAGCCACCAGAATTGACTCAAGTGACTCAAACTGGTGCAAATAATGTTGGGTGTGATTCAATGATGTAGCTCACCGCTTTGAGCATGTGGAGCAACTGCGCAGTGTGGATGCAAATTGGAACTAGAAGCTCCTATGCACATGCTCAAAGCTTGAATCACCCGACATCTGCAACCAATTGACTCAATTCTGGCTGCTTCCAGATAAATATGACCAATGATAAACGCTATCAACAAATCATTTCACACCCTCATTTCGAACATATCTTTATCAATCAATAAGTTTTACTGAAAATATTTCATAAGACTGACAAAAATTTTATTTAAAATGTTTTAAAATAAAATTAATTTTTATAAATAATATTACTAACATACTTACCATTCATTGTAATGCAACTCTACTATTCATATCATTAACAAACTTGTCGCGATTCTATTTCATTATTATTCAAAACTTTTATGATTAATTGTACATATAAGAAACATAGTCATTAAAATTTCTTACGGAAGGACCCTGAAGGTTTATCATATAGCATTTATGTCTAGGCAAAAGTGGCAACCTTATCTTTGCATCATCACTTCCCAATCACCCTTCTCTCTCATGAAACCCAAAATGAATTACTTCCACTCTGCGGCCTTTTTCTTCCTCCCCGCCATTTTCACACTCGCAAGTCGCAAACCACAAGGCCAAGGTGCCACGTGCCACGGCAGCGAGGAAGCGGGCCTATCGGGCTTCAAGTCTGGCATCAAATCCGACCCCTCCCTAGTAACATAATCAGATCGGATATGAATAATATGCCAATTCGAACTTATCCAAACTAATTTAAGGAATTTGGATTAAATTTTTTTACTATTTGAGTAAATTTCAATCTAACCCAGTTAAAATTTGGTACAGTAGGAGTCATGTAATGGATTTCATATTCTTTTTAGTGTGTTTTAACCTGACCTAATAATAATAATAACAAGAAACGATAATGACGATGATGATGATAATAATAATAAGTTAATGTGATTATTTGTTTAAGATAATATTTTCTGTTATTTTTATTAAATAACGAGTATTGTATTTTTAGATTGATAATATTGTAATAAAACATACTTATTTTAAATTTTATTTTGTATTAATGTTAGTTGTTTAAGTCAATAACAATGTAGCACATTAACAAATTTATTTTGGAATTTAGTTTGTAATCCTAAAAGCATTTCTAGATCCTTTTCAACTATTGTTTTCTAACTTCCAAATATACTTCAAAATCCTACATTGCTTAGGTGTCGAGGTTAAAAATTGTTTATAAACTACCCTTAGTCTCGACTCTTAAGCGATGTAAGACTTTTAAGTATACAACGTCCAAGGAATTGTCTGCTTTAACGTTTGTTAGGCCGTCACGATTTTGTCTTTTAAGAAAGATATAAGTGTTCTTTTAATAAGTCACTTTTGGCTTAAACCTAAGTATTTTTTGAATTGTCTCTTAAAGCAATCTACCCAAATATTCTTTCACACAAAATCTTTCCAAGTTTCAATACCAAGTATTCTTTTATAATCAATCCTTTCCAGGTTTAAATGAGTATTCTTTTACAAACAAGTTTCTTTAGGCCCAACCAAGTATTCTTTTACTAACAAATTTTTTTAGGCTCAAACAAGTATTATTTTAACAGACAAGTCTCTTTAGGCTTAACCCTATAATAATAGTTATATCTAGATAAAGTTTTACAAGTGTTGATTAATCTACAAGCAAGACGTGATACAACCAATTAAGAACAATATCTTTACGAAAGGGATGAATGAATAATGATCTGTACAAATGTTCTCTTTTTCTCATCAATCTTTTTTTTTTATCTTGAAGTTCCTTATATAGTAGTTTAGGTGAAGATGATCATTGCAAAACCTTGAGGATTCTTCACAAGCTTAATTCGTTTGTCTTCATTACAAGTCCCTTAAGATGAGAAGTGTCTGTTAAAGCATTTAAATGCTTGTATTAATTACACTTCACGAAATTGTCACTTCTTATTTGAACAAGGACACTACTTATTAGCTTTAGAATACCAAACGGACTTTCTGTGGCGTGTGTTAGAATACCAAACGAACTAATACAAAAATATCTTATGTTATTTGATTTGTTTTGTTTGCATTTTTTAGACTTACATTACTACTTCACTATTTTGTAAAAATGTTAATTTTTTGATTGACACTATCAAATCCTCTTCTAGTATCTTTGTTTTCTCCACATAATTGCTTTGCTAACTTTCCAATTTCCATAAAATAGCTTTAAATTATTATAGATTTTAAATAATAAATATTCATTGAATAAAAAATTAAAATTAGAAATTTAACAAACATTTTAGCCCCAACTCAATTATCAAATAAAATAGAAAAAAATTGAGAAATTGAACGGTTATTCATTTTATATAGTTTCCTTTATAATATTAACTGTTAACTTTTTAATCAATAATATATATATATATATATATATATATATATTATTTTTATTTTTCTAAGGTTTATGAAATTTACAATATAATTAAGAATTAATTAAATATTAGTTATAGCTCAAACCGCAAGGAAAATATCTTGAATGAGGAGTCCATAAGTCAGCCGTAGTGAATTGGCTAAGAATGAGCACGAAGACAAAGGTAGTGGCATGAATTTCGCACTTTTGTTTTGTACATTCTTTAGTAATATGGTGAAACATAAATTATCTTATGTGTAATTAATGACAAAGGAGTAAAACATCAATAGAGAATCTATCCATGTATATAAAAGCCATTTTTTTTATATAAATTTTTTAATATTATTTTATTTTTAATTTTTAAATAGTAAAAAATAATATTAAAATTTAACTATTTTTATAAATTTACAATTTGAATCCGAGATTTTGATGTTCAAGAATTAGACATAATATTAATTAATTCAATAAATATTAATAATTTTTAAATAATCTTAAATAAATATAGAGGTATAACATATTTTGACTTCGTTAATTAAGTAAAAAACGTTCGTGAAGACGACAAATCTTGATGAAAACAATGATGAGAAATTATTTATTTATTATTTGCATGTAAAAAGAGATTTTATGTCTATGTGAAAAAAAATAAATTAATGTTTTTATAAAAAAAAAGTGAATAGTTATTATTATTATTATTATTATTATTATTATTATTATTATTATCTTCTATTTTATCTTTAAATACATATTAATGAAAAAAATTAAATATAATAAAAGAGTATAATTATCTTTAAAAAATAAATATTAAAAGAGGTATTTCTTTTATATATTGTTAATATTATAAATTTTTTATTTTTTATCGAATCAATTTAGTAAACCTATTTGACCAATTAGATTGATCAGATAAAAATATAATATAATTTTATTTAAATAATTTTTTCAAGACCTAATTTGATGTTATTTATTAGTTGGATTAAAATTAACAATTCTAATTTTAGTAACCGTACAAACTATTATAAGAAAAAAAATTTCCTTTATCTTTTATTAAGAAAATTACGAACTGGTTTTTTTTTCTTCTTCTACGGAAATAATAGATATAACACACCTTATTATCAGCAATAATATATTTTCTTTTATACAATAATATTATATTACAAATTATATAATACTATTCTTTGGATTTGTTTTTTTTAATTTTTTTCATAAAATAACACTTTTTTCAAGTAAAATAAATACTTGTTACTTTTATGATGTGTTTGTGTAGATTTCATTTTTAAAATATATTTTTTTCTTTTTTAGAAAAAACTCTTATCTATTTTTAAAGAAAATAAAAAAAAATATTTATTTAAAAACACATATTATTATTAGTAGCATTCCTTCTTTATACGAAAAAAAAGGGGAAAATTTTTCTCGTAGGGTTTTTAACCCCTAAACCCTTTGTACCAAAAAAACAAACTACATGTACCAGAAAAAACCCCTAAACCCTTTCAAACGGTATCGCAGAGTTTCAGCAGCGACTATAGATTGAGAGTTTCCGAAAATAATTTGATAGCACGCACTTGATTACTCCATCCACGTTCTGCGGTGAGTTCCACCGTCTTCTGCTTCATTCTTCTATTTCTTTACTCAAAATGAGTTTTTTTATTTTTATTTTTTATTTTTTATTTTTTTTTGTTTCATGCTTCATTTTCTTTTTTCACGAGAGAAACATTATTCGCCTTTCAATGAACTCTATGGTCTCTGAGGCTGGATTCCTGATTTCTACTTTGCCCCTAAATTTGTTTTAATCATTATTGTGGAAAATATATTTTTTCGATCCACATATTTGTGCCATTGATTTTCTGGGTGAAAGTGCTTCATCCTCTGAAATGGTACCCTTTGTAGCTGTGTGTAAAAACTTGTGCTGAATAGGTGATTGAAAAAACATAAATACATAGAAGAAAGATTATATGGGGCATTTGAGAAAAATTGGGAATAGCAAAACTAGATCTTTTAGGTCTTAAATGTTGTTTGTTGCTTATTTGGATCCTCTTATCCCTGCCGCTGTGTATTTTCTTTGGTAATGTTTACACAGTTGGATATTGACCCTTTATGTTTGATTACTCGCACACATTGCTCAGCTAACTGAGTTAGACCCCTTTGACCTTTATGTCTGCAATTGCCTCAACTCGCTGAGTTGATTTTTTTAAAAAAAAAAAACTATGGTATACTATGGCTCTACTTACTTTGGGGATCTCTGTTTGCTTATCGTAAAATCAACTAGATAAAAAAGCCTATGGTATGCAAACTTTTTGAGAAGCTAGTCAAACCAGATCAAGTAGTTTGGTATCCTGAAAAATAAGGGTGCAGACCTCATTGTTGACAGTGAGCATCAGATGGATCACTTTGCAGCAGCTGAAGAGCAAATTGCTTCCCAGAGACTGAGGCAGAAACTTGAAGAAGTAAATGTGGCTGCCCAAACTAATCTTGCCCCTGTCCAAGACCATGTCAATTTTACTCTTCAGGTTCTTTCTGGTCCCTTTTTGTAACAAGTAATTCAGTGTTTGCTTTTATTATTGCAGTGTTGTTAAATAGCCGTTATAGCAGCGCTATAACACAATTGAATTGTGAAATTCCTTAAATCCGTGATCAGGACTGTCTGCTATGGTGTCGTGCATGTATCCTACTTCCTCTAGTCATCTATGCCAAGCTCCAACTAATTGAACTTTTGGGTTAATATTATGTCAAATTTTATTGCCTTTCTGCCATTTTCTGCAATCCGCAACTGATAACATTGTATTCTTGATGCAATTAATTGATATTTCTTCAGAAGATTGGATGGTTTTATGTTTTGATGACAGAAATGATATGAGAATCGGGACCAGAAAGTTTCATCCCTTTTGGATAGCTGATTTTTGTGTCAGATTATTTCTTTGTTTCTGATTTTAGTTCAAATTATTGTAGCATAATATCCTTCTGGTCTAATAAGTCATATGCAAAATATTACATGACGTTAATTTTGTATTTCTAGGTATTAAAGGTTTTGACTTTCTGTACCTTAAGTCCTCAATTTCCTTTCCATCAGATTGATTTATTATGCATCAATATCTCTTTTGGATGGAATGGGGATAATGGTAATTTCTTTCCTTGAAAAAGCAGACTTTCAATTCCATATAGTTGATTGTTTGATTGAATAATTGCAGAAAGCCTATTTTAAATGCGCATATGAGTGCTTTGATAGAAGCAAAAGGCAGGAAGAAATAAGCAATTGTGTTGAAAATTGCAGCATTCCTCTTACTAATGTGCAACACACATTTGATAGTGAGATGGCAAAGTTTCAGGTAAGCTAATATTACTCTCTCTCTTGGTTTTATCATATGTTATTTCTTGTTTAAATTTGTTAAGTGTGTATAAAATTATTAAGGAAGGTCTTATTTCTCTCTTAGTTTTACTATCTGTTATTACTTGTTTAAATTTGTTAAAGTGTGTATAAAATTATTAAGGAAAGTTTGATGAATTAAAGAAGCTTTGAACCTACAAGTCTTAGAATTTAGACATAACTTGCAATTAAGGCAAGTTTTTCAACACTCCCCCTTGTGCCTAGGGCTACAGGCCTGGAGTGTGCCCTTGTTTATTCATTTATTTTCTTGAAATGAGGACTCTGTCCTTGTTTTGATTTGAAATTTCTAGATTACATCACATGAAAGCTGACAGCAAGTCATGGTTAGCTGCAAATTCAAGTTGCTTAGGTTATCTACTCTGCTAGTTGGCGGTCCAAATTATTTGTATATTTTGTAAGAAATTAATATCTGACATCCACAAGAAGTTCTATTTTCTGGAAGCATTTTGACATTTAATTCCTTCCTTCCTCTTTGGTCTGACAGTGTTTTGAACATGCTGCAGGAGAGGTTGAATAGATCTCTGATGGTGTGTCAAGATAAGTATGAGGCGGCTAAGCTTCAGCAGAATGGGGCCATGAATGATTTGATTTCCTGTGCTGACCAGTCAATCCAGGAAAGCATCAACACACTGCCACATCTTGCCAACAAGTTGAAAAAATCCTTTGGAATTGAGTGAAAATGGATCCTTCTAGCTTATTTTCCTTGTGAGATAACACTATTCTTGTTTCGTTATTGGTTCCTTACTTCCTTGTAGCGCTTTTATTTTTTATTTATTGTTCTTCTCCTATACATTTAACCCCTCATGCAAATCAAATTGGGTGCAAACCAAGCTTGCATTATAAACAGATTATGGTGCTTTCTCAATATGAGAGTTTCAGTCAACGATGGACGTTGTACTTTGCAAGAAGTTCAGCCGCGCACTTCCTGTAGACTATAGTTATTAGTTGCATATGGTTAGCTTCGAGTATATAGTAAAACACATTCCATTCCAGTGAATATGCCTAGAAGGCGTTGAAATTAAATTTTAAAAAAAAAAAAAAACCCTACCTTATTTAAAACTAAAAGAAAAAGGGTAACAGACGTAAGTGGACTCTACGTGAAAGCCTTGGGTGTATCATATGTGCAATGATTATGAAAATTTGACGCATGCATTCCTAAATTTTATATTTTATACTTTTTCCTTTAGAATTTTGTATTACTAGTTACTACTACTACACATGAAAACTCTAGAGAAAGGGCGTCTGATGGGCTTTTTATACCATTTATGCACTTTTATATTTAATTTTCAGATTATCTCGAATGTGAAATTAGTTTTCAAAATACGTTGACTCTTAAAAGTTATAAAGGAATCGAGTTGGAGCGTATCAAATTCCAAGCACATTTCACATGTATTTTTTTACAATATCAACACACATTGAGAACCCCAAAATTGACTTCTCAATCTGTTTTATTTCTTATTTCATATAACATTTTTTATGTAGTCTTTATGGGAATTGCATAATTTTGAAAGCAAAATTAAAAAAAAAAAAAAAAAACTTCAGTAAGCTTTAAAACAATTTATAATGTATTTTATAAAAATTGAGAATTAAGGGTAAAATATTTATTTTATAGCCCTAATGTCATATTTAGAAAATTATACTATCAACAACTTATTCTCTCTTGATATTGTTTACTACTCCCTCCGTTTTTTTTTTCATAGTCGTTTAAGGTTTTGCACGGGACTTAAGAAAATCATTGATATTTTAGTTTTCAAAAATATTTATTACTTACTTTCCTATTTTACCATTTATTTTTTTTTTTGTATTTTGGAGACGGTTGAACTGCAATGTATTCTATTAATTATTAATGCATTGATTACACGTGAACTGTAATCTACTGTATTTAATTATACATGTCCCTTTTTTTGTTTTTTGATAGTATTTTGTTAGGAACATATTGCTCTTATAAATGCACATTAACTTTATATGAGTAGTTGGAGAAAAAATAGGTAGACATCAAAAACAAATATACACATTGTTCAGTAAACATGTATTCATTATCAAGGATAAAAATGGAGAAAAAAAATTAATAAGTCATTGATTTTAGTAAAATGACAATGAAAAAAAAATAACAAATTCTGACAAAATGACTATGAAAAAAAATGGAGGGAGTAATAAAAAAGAAAAATCAATTTTTCACTTTTTTTAATGTATTTCTCTCTTTTCTGTTATCATGAAAAAGAAGATATTATTGTTTTATAAAAAAAATATTAGTTCAAGTGATTTAAACTTATAATTCTTTTTACTCTATTAAAAGAATATTATTTTAATTATTTTATAACATTTTTAAATGAAAAGTGGCAAAATTTTGTGATTGTGTCTATGTAAGTCTTTTTTCACAATATGAAGCAGTGACAGATAAGCCAGTGGCAGCACCCAGCAGCAGAGTTTCGCCTCCACAGCACAGGTGATAGCTTTTTTCCTTTCTTATCTCTTTCTTTTCATCTAACTGCGCCTAACGCACCAAACACACTGCCCCATATTCAATAAATCTTCGAACTTGAAATTATGCTATTTGCTTACACACTTACAGCACGAGGGTGTGAAATCTCATTTTGGTGGCTTAGAAGTTAGAACTAAACGAATAAAGATTATGCTATTTTTTCTGTTACAGGCTTGATTGATGGGCCCGGCTTATGGTTTTAGTTTTTACATACTCTGTATTTAAATTATGTTTACGAGGAGGGCTAACAACACATTCTTTTATTATTTGGTGAAATTTTGCATCCATTCTTTACTTGTGAGGCTAATTTAAAATTTTACCTAATAATAGAAACAAGTGATGAAAAAAGAGTATTAAAGAATGTGTTGATATTATTTCTCTTTTTTGCATTCTACCAATAGCTAATGCTTTTATATGTAGAATTATACTTATTGACCTTATAAAAAACATTAATACATGTAACTTTAAGATTTGAAATTGCTTTGGTGATGTTTAGTTACATTCTTTTTGACACTTGGTACGTTTCTGGTGTGTTTTCCCCCCTTTTCTTTGAATAAAAATAGTGATAGTTGATCATAGTTGAATGCAGCTAGAAGAGATTAGATTAGATTTAGTTGTTTATGTTTCCCTATTGTGATATTTTAACCGGAAGACAATGCATAGCAGCATATTTTAAATTTCCTAATGTTTTGATGGCGGAAGGGGGTTGTATAATCTGAATATGGAGTTATGTTAAATGTGTTTGATGTATTATTTTTGTATAAGCAGTGACATGATATTCTTATAGGGTGCATTTTTTATCCTTTAAGAGGAAAAAAAATCTTACTGGTTCCAAGACCTGGGGTGCATAGTTAATATTCTTCTGGCACACCCTCTCTTTGGGGGTGGGTGTCATAGGAAGATACAGAAAGAGGCTTTTTGACCTAAGAAAAATAGTGGATTCTGAGACATACGGTGGTGACAATTGAAAGAAAGAATGCATGCAGCATCTCAAACCTTCATCTTAAATCTAACTCCCCAGGTTAATCCTTTTCTCATTTTCATTTGCTTTTTTAAACTTGATAATTTCCTATTATCTCGTTCTTCTAAGTTGAAAATCAAGTACTGGTAGTTTGTTGCTTGTTCCTAAGTAACATAAAATTTTGTTTTCAGATGACCAGATGCAAGCAGAAAGTAGATGAGTTTATTATGCCTAGCCTGAATTGTAGACGTTTTGGTCTTTCATGGAAGCTTAGACATGGTGCAAGAAATATTTTAAAAAGGCACTTCTGCTTTCTGAATTATATTTCAAGTTGCATAGATGGTTATTTGAGCCTATACTATATATTATACAACGTAGCCATTTAAATTCCTCAAATAATTACACAACAAAAATTGGGGCATTGAAGCATTTCTCCTCAATTATAGTATCAGTGTTCTCTACTGACTCAAACATCACTATCTTGACAGAGATTTATGTAAAATTTGTTCAATTATTGTTCAGTCATTCCTCAGTTGCCTATGTGCAACTAGTTTTCATGCAGTGCTTTCCATGTGATTTTTATCTGAATCTATTTAAATTATTTAAATTGATTTTGAAATGTTCACTCCTTTTAACAGAGAAGACATTAAATGCCTTCCTACTGCTGGTGTAATATCAGGTGCTAGTTTTTCTTTTCTGGCGGTATGCTTATTTCAATGTTAAATTGTAGTTTATAAATTAATATCAACTCAGACTTTGATTTCCTTGTTGTAGATGCCCAAACTTCTTCTATTCATTTTGAGGACTTCTCAGTCTCTGTTTCTGACAACAATGATGCTAGAGAACTGAAGGTATCATATAATATTTAATTGAAATACTAAGAGAAAGAGAAAATATCCACAGAAGATAATAAAAAAACAATAAACAAAGGCATAAAATGGAGGAGAAAAACAATGATAGCTGAGATTGAGAAAGTTATGGATGGCTTGGGGTTATATATGGGTCAAATCAATATTTTTTGCTGAGAGCTAGTAGACTAGTGGACTATAGGAAAAGAATTGATTCACAGTAGGTAAAGGCACTATAGCAGAAGGGTGAGTCAACAGGGGCACTTGTAGGGGCCAGCTGGAGATATATGTTATGATTTAAGATCAAACGGCAGTGACAAATTCATAATAGAGGTATGGGAGGTCATCAACTCATAAATACTGTTAGTATTAGGAATATAAAATGAGGTGGTCTCAATGAAGGTAACATTTGCAGAAGCGAAATAGGCAATTGTTGATTGGTGTCTGGTGAATAAGATCAACAGCATTTTTGAAGAGTTAAACAAGAATAGCCCAACAGAAGCATTTGGTTACTAGGCAGCGTTTATCTTGTCATGTAGAAAGAGTACAAACAGAACATGCTCAACCAAAAATGTGAGAGGAAGCATGTAAATAATGAGAGAAAACTTATTGAATTAGAATACATAAGTGAGTTGAACTTACACTGTTTGAACAACTTGATTTGCACTGAGAATACAGCTGATGTATGATTAATGGTTATATTCGCATGTTTTTTTGGATGCGTTGTTCACATGATATTTTCATCATTCAACAATAAATGTATACAAGATTTTGATTTTTCTTAAACATAAATATGATTTTCTGTGAAGATAAGTCTTTTGAGAAAAGGATGAGGTTGAGAGGAGCATATATAAATTTTCTGTTGAATTCTTTTCAAAACTTGCAGCAACACTTGTCGTTGCCATTTGCTAATAAATTTTGAACGCTTTTTTAACTCTTCTATCCAGATAAGTGTAGAGGTATCTGGAAACAAAACTCAAAGGATATTTGATGATGTATTTAAGAAAATGGTTGCAGCTGCACAACCAATCCCAGGATTTCGAAGAGTAAAAGGAGGTAGAGTATTTATGTGTATTTAAAATAGAGGAGTACTCTAGTTTTATTTGTTTGTGTTAGTGTTTTCCTGGACACGAATGCATGCCATGCTAATCATAATTGTTGACATATTTATTCCCAATAGAAATCACTTCTTTCATGAATTTTGTCATGGTTCATGGTCATTTTGTTTCTACACTGCTCAATGATGTTTGATGCATAATTTTGTTGTGTTAAGAGGATTACATTCCCTATCAAAAGAGAAAAGAAAAACAAGTAAAAGTAAGAAGCCAAATACATTATGGTGTAAATCTTGCAAATAATAATTATAATAATTTCATATTGTTGTTATTTTTATGGGTGTAAGATCCGATCTCTTTCTGAGCTTGAATTTCTAGTTTACAAAATCTGTATAAAATAATTTTCATTTTTTATTTGTCAAACATTATATTATGTACTGGAGGCATGAAATTTCTTTGTTGAAAAGAGTGGTACTTGGGATAAAACTTAATTTGAAATCCAAGGAATCTTACTCTATTCCTAAGATAATATCAATATTAATAATAATGAGCAGACTGATCATGATATGATCTAATTTTTTTTATCATGATTATGATATGATCAGTCATGAGATGCTAGGCTCAGTAGGCTGTCCCTTGCTTCTTAAACTTGTATTCTCTCTAGCTTGAGCTCACCATCAAACCATAAATCCCTGATATTACATGCAGGAGCCTTTTTTTAGCACAATGAAAAATGATGATAATAACAGAACAAAAGCAGCAATACAACTATATCAGCAATAATGACATTAAAAAATCTATAATGAATGATAAACATGATGATCAGATGGAGATTTCTGTGAATTTCAAGCAGGTCCGCTAAAGTCTTTATTTTTTTTTTCCTCTTTAGGCTTCCTCATCTTTGTTTTTTTCTTTCTAACTTTCTTCTCCTTATATCGATATATTTTAAATTAACATTTTTCTTGTGTTTCTGATGGCCAATTGCTGCTCTAACAATTTGAGGACTACCAGGAAAAACGCCAGATGTAAGTTTCTGTTAGCTCTCTTGATGCAAATCTTTTGTCATGAACAGGAATGCTGATAGATACTCAATTTTTTTTCCTGTCTCCTTTTCATTTATAGGTATATATAATGCCACTCAAGGCTTGTATGTGATAGGTTAAACAACTGATACTTATTTTATGTCTTAGTTTCTGTTGTGTTGAAGTCCACTTTTTCTGTGCGTGTTAACTATTTTTTGCAGGGTTGTATATAGAATTGAGAAAATTATGAGACATTTTGCTATGTTGTGGGTTGAGAGTTTGGTTTGTAGGACCTTTCTTTGCCTGAGGAAAAGGATAGTGTTCCTTAGGTAATCTGATGCTTAAAAACCATAATTTTTTCAGTACTAAATCGTAAAGTTTATCTTTCAGTAATCGGTACAAAATAATGTCACCACAATTCTGCATTCTCTTCAGTGATGGACATGATAATTATTTTTTGTTGGGGACGAGGGGATTAAACATCAGGAAAAAATCCATAAATGGGCCACGAGCCAACAATATGAGTGAATTTGACACCACATATAAAGTCTTAAAGCATTAGGCGTGCGGGTTCTTCACTTATATATAGCCCAATGTTACCATTTTTACTTGATGTGGGAATTCTTATTCAAACTTGCGCATCAAAATTTTCATATTTGGGACTTCATGTTTTTCCTTGTTTTCATCTTTTCTTCTGTTGCATAAAAATACTATTTTATGATTCCTATCATTGTACTTGTAGCTGAAGTATCTCTTGAAAATATTTTCCTTTTGCAAACTTGATTAATGGTAGAGAGGCTATAAAATTGGTCGTAATATCCAATCTCCTGGATTCTGCATATTGTTCATAGAATTGGGTAATTTGATGCTTTTCCCCCAGACATTTCTTGGATTCTTTTATCTATAATTTTGTGAACTGATGATACTTTTATCCATTCTCCATAAAGTGGTGCTTTCCATTTTTCTTCTTCCATTTGGAATTACATTGTTGCTCTTAAAGCTTTGGCAGATATGTAAATAATATGTTGTGTTGCATATCGTAGTAGTTTACAGTGGGATTATGACTGACTTCATTATGGAGTTGAGATAGAAGACAAATAGTACATGCTAGTATCAAACAACTATTGTGTGCAATAGTCAATTTAGTTGAATATATACGACTTCTAATGCAGAAATCTTAAGTATGAAACATTAATTCAGTATTTTGGTTGTATTGTGTGTTGTGTTTAACAGATTCCAAAAGACATTTTATTAGAGGTACTTGGACCTTCCAAAGTTTTCAAGGAAGTTATCAAGAAAATAATCAATTCAACTGTAGCTGAATATGTGGAGAAGGTATTTTGCCATATGCTATATCTAGTTTTTCCAAATATTTTGCTTCTTGGAAATCATGTAGCTAATAGCGTAAAAGAAAGGGCAGAAAGTATGCATATTCTAGAATGACGGTGAATAGGACAGATCCCATTTACATCAATGGAATCCTCGATCTCTCTGAATGAACCTGTCTGGATTCTTCCATTCCTATGAAAAAAAAATGATGGTTCAATTAGCCTTTAGTTTTTATAGTTTCATGAACTTCACCTTTTGGTACTTATAATTAAAAATATTTCCGTTTAGTCATTATACATACAATTTTTATTTTCTTTTAGCCTTTATAGTTGTATAAATTTTACATTTTAGGTCCTATAGAAATAGACGGCAAATAAAAAATGGTATGCATAAGAACTGAAAGGGAATGTTTTTAACTACAGGAACTAAAAGGTAAAGTTTATGAAGCTATGAGGATCAAAAGGATTAAACCAAAAATGATGAATTAAAATATTAATATCTAGCCCACCAAGGAGCACTTTCCACATAAATTTTGCATAGAAGACATCTCTTCTATCTGTTTTTCTCTTTTTTAACTGAACTTCCAACCTTTGCTTTTTCGGTTAATTCCAAATTTTTGGGTAAAATTCTCTGCAGGAGCGATTGAAAGTTAGCAAGGACCTGAGAGTTGAGCAAAGCTTTGAAGATCTTGAAATTACTTTTGAGGAAGGAGAAAAATTCAGCTTTGATGTTGTCCTTGAGCTTCAGAAATAAGTTGAATTACATTTGTTTGTTCAAATTTTATTTGAGATTTTGCCCTTTCAATGTTATAGTTTTTCAATGCCAAATATAACTCTTCGAAGAAAATATTACTCTTTACAATATCATCTATAGCGTTGTTTACTCCTAGTACCGGTGAACACCTCACTTCAAAAAGGAACGTTTATGCAACGAAAATATCTCTCCTAAGCAAGCTCCTCCTACTCCTGAGTTACAGCAAGCAAATTTCATGGCTTCTAATTTTGGATGCAATTCATGGACAAATTTAGGCCCTCTGGCTTCCCCTTGAGAACTGTATGAACGATTTTTCTTTTAGAGTACGAATCTGTAGAAAACAATGTGATAGTTTCTCTTTGAGATTGAGGAAGCTATGATTGAAAAATGATTCCATTTCAAAGTAGTTGAGAATGTTTGAGGTACATGTTCTAGAATCCATGAATCATGATTGTGAAGAGAGACGCTGATCATGACGTGAGATGTGTAGCATATGTCATTTTGCATGGGGGCTAGATTGGGGAAATGTTATGGGGAGTTGTTACGGTACCCTCAAAGATTGAGGGATTTCAATATTTTTTTTATGTAAATTTATAAAAATAAAAATAAAAAACTAATTTAATTATAAAATGAATAATTTAAATTGTATTTATAAAATAAAAAATAAGATAAAATTATAGTGATTAAAATTATAAGATTTCAATAATATTATAAAATATTAAAAAACAAAAAAAATTAATAAATAGTAAAAATAAAAAATTATTAAAATTACAATATAGAAATTCAAAAATTTAAGATAAAAAGACAAAAAATATACTTAAAAAATTATTAAAATTAAAATATAGAAATTCAAAAATTTTAAGTGAAAAGATAAAAATATACTTAAAAAATTATTAAAATTAAACTATTTAAATATATAATAATAATATTATAAATAAATTAGAATATATAAAATAAAAAAAAAAACTGTACCAATACCCTCTCAAATAAGATGGGTACCATAGAATTTCTCAATGTTATGATTCAATTGCAAAATATGAAATTGAGTCTTACATCAGCAATATGATAATATGAAAGGCTTAAAGTATATTTTTGTTTCTTGTAAAATAAGTAAGTTTGAGTTTTGATCAATGTAAAAAAAAAAATTTCATTCTTCTAAAAATTAGAACAATGTTATGAATATTTAATAGTTATCTATTGTTATCGTTTATATTTCATTTTAATACTATTATCTTATATGTAATTATTTATGTCTATAAATAAACTATCTTATTATTGGATATAATACAAGAAATTCTTCATTCTCTCTATTGTTTTTTCTATTTTTTCTCTCCTTTCTCTTCATAGCTTCCATATTATAGTTTATATCTCTATGCTAATTTTTATAATACGTTATCAACACAATCTGGCCTTTTAACCTTTATAAATAATAAAAAAAATTAATTATTAAAATATTTTTTTTAAATAATTTATCAAAATAAATTGTTTTCGTCACATAGATAGCGACATAAATGAATAAAAGGAAAACGTTAGGAAAAATGATATTTTGTGGGGTGGCAAAATTTACATAGAAGTCGTCATGGGGTTGATGTCTTCTATATAAAATTTTTTACATAAAAAATGTTAAAATAGTTGACATTTTGTATAAAAATAATATGTTAAATAGGTTTGGTATTATTATTCAAAATTGTTTATTAATTCTTAGTAGGCTTAATAATTATATGGTCAGTTTCTCTCCTAAGTAAGCAAACTTAGTTGCTTACAATTTAGTTAAAGTGATTGAATTTTAAGTTGGCCTTGTTGACTTTGGCTTGATAGTTGACGTTTTATGTAAAAATAATTTGTTAATGTTTTTTTACTTGCGTTTTGAATATTTCCACTAATGGCTGCTGAAATGATTCGAGTATAAAATATATTTGAGAATAAAATAATTTTCACATTTTTATATTTTTATTTTTAAAAATAGAGTATGCAAATTTTCGTGATGTGTCTAAAATTATAATTTTTTATTCATTTTAACTTTTTTTTCAGTCACTTTCATAAAAATATTTTCATCATTAACCAAACATTTTTCAGTTCACGGGGCCGGTATAGAAGAAGTCAGATACCCTAACATTTTTCTGTGCTACGGGACGTTACAGAAGGCGTCAATGGTTTTGAGGTCTTTTGGCCATAATAAATAAATAAATATTGAAATAAATTAATTAAAAGATATTTTATAAAAAATAAATTATTTTGGACACATAAGATTACAGAAAGTGAAGAAAATGTCACACATTCAATACATGGATATAAACAACTTGAAAACGTCAAAATATTTGACGTTTTATGCATAGATTTTCAAAACTAAAAACGTCATTGTGGTTAACGTTTTCTTTATGATTTTACACTATGATTAGTAGATAAAAAAGGACAATGCACAAGTAAAAATCACTTGTAAAAAAGGATTAAAATCAGAATGGTTTAACACATATGGGTGTCAAAAAGATAAAATAAGTCAAGAAATGACATTACCTTCTCGATCAAAATGAATGTGGAGTAGGTGTCACCAAATAAATTTTGATACCAAATTATCTTCCCAAATTGTAAATCGAAAATGAAAAAGGTTAATCTCAAATCCTAAAACAAATTTGAAGAAGGTGGAATAGGAAGCGACAAAAAAAAATCCAAAAATGCGATTATCTTGTCAAACACTCAACTAGAATTGAAGAAGGTGGACTAGGTGACGGCAAAGAGATCCAAAACCACGATTATCTTTTTGAGTGCTAGCTTGACCAAAATAAAGAAGGTAGAGTAAGAGACAATAAAAGAAATTCAAAAATGCAAATTTATTAGATAATTTTATATTTTTATGATATTTTTTTTTGTAATAAGTACTTGGAAAAAAATTAGGTATTTTTATTATAATTATTTATATATTTTATTTTAATTATAATTGTGTTAGGAGAAATGTATTTATTTTATATAGTATATATTTGTTAATTATTAATTATTGTATTCTGTTATAATTATTTGGGTTAAAGGAAATATGTTTATTTGATATGTTAATTATTTATAAGTTTTAATATTTGAGGGAAAGGAAAAAAAGAACTATGGTTAAAATGTTTTACTAAAGGTAAAACGTGGGTTGAAAAGTTTTTAAAAGAGATGTTTTAAGAGTAGAGAGACGTCGATTTACATTTTACGCTCCTCATTTCCTCTTTATGCTTCATGCTCTAAAGAACAATAGGTCGTTAGAGATCACTCTAGAGACTGATGCCCTTCGCCTAACCTTCATCGTGATAAGGGAAAGTTAGTAATCTCACTTTGGACATGAGATATATGTGGGGTAGTAGGATTGATCCTCAATCTTGTCTTTGTTATCTATTTTATATGTGAAGGGTTTTCCCAAAACTTTGTTTTTGTCTTCTTTGTGATTCTTTAGTGCTCTATTTGATGTCATTGTTATGAATATGTATTGAATTTAGTATTTGATTTGACAATTGTGAATCTTGGGTTGTTTGTGGGGTCCTGCGGGAATCCTAAGGAAATGTATTTTGGTATTTGTATGAGTAAAGGGTATGAACACATGTAATTGATGGGTTAATAACGTGATTTTAGGATTTTAATCTATGATTCTATCTATTGATGATCAATTTTGATGATGAGATGAGTTATGGAGTTCAAGAATCAAAATTCATACATGTCATATTTCATCACGGGTGTGATCAGAGAGTCATGGCTATGACTGGTCAATTACGGGTGTGATCGATGTCATAAGCATGACCGATGAGTCATGACTGTGACATGTTCAAAATTTGGTCTCCTTTTGGTTTGTCGAGCCAATTACAAACGCGATCGACAAGTCACGGGCATGATCAAAGTCACAACTATGATTTGTGAGTCACATTTGTGACTCATGTTGATGCTCTATTTTCTCTCTTTTTGTTTCTTCCCTTCATCACGTCTATTGCTTAAGATGAGTTATACTTATGAGTTTAAGATAACTTGAGGATAAGATCTAGTAAGTATAAGGAAGTAATTGAGTTAATGTTCAAAAGATGCAAAGGTGAAGAATGTTCTTATAATAATTATAATAGGAATGCTTTAGTAGTGTGGCTCAAGATTATGATTCATAGTGTTAGTATGGAAGGGTTTACCCCTAGGTGTTTGATCTTACGAATGCTTTGAGGTATCTATATTAGTGCTTAGGAAAGAGAAATAATAAGAAGGGACAATTGGGAATAAGTTACGATATCAGATAATTTTTGACAACTTGAAATGTTTTGGTGATAACAATGCTTAAGGACTTAATGTGTGATAGTAATAAAGTTAAATTAGTTTAGCCATTGATTTAAGCTCTTAGTGACATTAATCTTTTAGTGACTATAGTCGAGTTGTTAACATATGATTAAACGATCTCATAATGATTTTTTCCTAAGGTGTATCAGATGATGATGTGTAATCATTATACTACTTAATATTGATAACTAGTTACAATATGTGAGTATGCCATTGATATGATATATTGTGAGTTATGTATGAATTGATTGATGTGCCTTGACATTTATACAATTGATGTGTATAGATCTTGCGAAGGCCATATGATGAGAAGTCTAAGCAAGGCTTAGCCATGATATGATATGATAAGACATGTGATATGTCAATTAATGAAATCATGTGAAATGTTATGCATAGCTCGAGTCTATTTGACATGTATCATATGCATAAAAGTGTTTTTAAGGACACAATATGAAATATACTGCTAGGAAAGGTCCCTTTGTATAAAAGATTAGGGATCACTCCTTGAGGATAATTTGGTTTGAAAGTCCTAGTCTCGCCATTTATGTGCATGAGATGTATCTTATGTGGCTCAATTATGCTGACTAGACTCTGATAGTATGTCCTCTTAGTGAGAGTATGTAGAGGGTGTTACTCGAAATGTACTCGTAGACTATTCTACATGTATTATTAACGATAATGCACAATGTAACATAGTAAGTTGGTTCAGGATTTAGGGGATGCTAGAGGGAAGAGTATATAAGACTTTCTTTGAGAATAGAGCCTCATAAGCTCATTCTTAGAGGAATTATAGAGAGAAGTTTTAGAGAGAAAGGCTCTAGGTTCGTGAGCTCATTTCTCTCCCAAATTCCTTTGTTTGATTCTTTTTCTTCTCTAGATCACTAATCCCTTCTATCTTTTCTTGGAATTCAGGCTAGGAAGCTAGTTTTTGGAGGATTGGAGTCTGCAGGTCAAGCTCCGGGAAATTTCTTCTTCTTCTCATTTCTTGGCTGTTCTGAGTCAACTTTTAGGTGAAGGAAGCTAGAATGTAGGTTATTTGGTTGCATGTGAGTTTAAAAACTCAATTAATGCATGAATTTTGAGAATCAATGGTTGAATTGAAGTAATTGCTTATTTTGGGGTTTT